TCGAACTGCTCTGATACCACTAAAGTGTAACGACCCAGCTGGTCACTACACTCTGCACAGCACACTAGAAACACCACACAGAAAGGAACAAGTGTATACATATAGGGTCTAAAATATATACATATACAAGGTCCAAGTCTGGATAGAGTTAAAGTGTACAAAATACATCAAATGCTACTACACCAAGCAGCTAAAACAACAAAACATCCTAATATATCAGCTCCGTCTGCCAGTTGCAGACTCACCACCAGCCACCAACCTATCCCTGCTCTGCTCCCATACATAGTATGATCATCACAGTCCAAACACCATGGAAACAACAAAGGGTAAGCTAGTGAAAACAAATCAACATACATATATAACAATATGAATGGTAAACAGCTACATCTATCAGCGCAACAACCAGCTTATACTACACCACAGCATTCAGCAATATCAGCACCGCAAAGCGGCAATATCAGCACTGCATAACAGCAATAACAACACCACTCTAGTGGCTATAACAGCACCGCATAGCGGCAATAACAGCACCGACTTAGCGGCTATAATAGCACTACAATAGTAGCTATAACAGCACCACAATAGTGGCTATAACAAACATACAGTTCAGCAATATACAACACAACCAATCAGCATACAGCATAGTTAAGTAGTATTCAACACAGCTTACTACTCACAACTCAGCTCAACATTCTATACTACAGCAATATTATAATTCAGCATTTAAAATCTTCAATCACAGCCCACCTCAGAACGACAATATACATCTAATATTCAACATTATCATCTAGTCAGCACAACATATTCATCAATTTCAGCTTAGTTCGGCATAAACATCATCTATCAACAATTTTAGCATATAATTTCACCTCATTATACGCGCTTGGTGCACTCATGGTCACACCCAGCATGGTACAACCAGAGAGCACCAGGGGCCAGTGCGCCCGGCGCAAGAGTGCCCGCGCCCGGCGTGACCCAGCCAAAGAGCCCAAGGCTCTTACGCACCTAGCGCAATACAAAATTGCGCCCAGCGCATGTCCAGGCAGAGACCCTAAGGAGTCTCGCGCGCCCGGCGTGCCCTAACCCGCGCCCAGCGCGGGGAAGGTAGAGACCTCCCAAGGTCTCGGGCCTAGCGCAATTTAAATTGCGCCCGACGCCCCCATGGCAGAGACTCCCAAGGAGTCCCCGCGCCCAGCGCGAAGAGGGTCGCGCTCAGCATGGAGCCAAAACCCCAAAACATGTCACATACTGCCAGCGCGCTTGGTGCGTTCCATGTCACGCCCGGCGTGGGCCATCCAGAGGCTCACCTTCTCCAACTCGCCCGGCGCACACATCTTTGCGCCCGGCGGGCTTGCCTAAAAGGAGCCTCCAGGTGGTCTCGCGCCCGGTGCGAAGAACGGCGCTCAGCGCGAGGCTCAGCAGCAACCCACCAAGTTCAAAAATTTTCCCAAAACCTGCAAAACTCCACTCATCCAGCACATGCAAACTAGCCAAAAGTTCACATTTTCATCAAGCATCAAGAAAAACACCTCATTTCCAACATGCAACTTCAAATAAAAAAAAACCTCAAATTTCTTCAAAACCCCGAAAACCCCAAAAATTCCATTTTCAGCAATCTCAACTAAAAACCATCAAAAATCAACCATCAAGTGAGTTTCTAGACCTCATTTACAACCAAAATCAGCAAGACCTAGCTTCCCTTACCTCAGTAGAAGATTCCGAGCTCCAGAAAAAAGAAAATGAAGAAGGAGAAGCTTGATCGGAGAACAACGGAGAAATGAGACAAGAAAGAAGAACTTCCACTAGCTTCGAATGCCACTAATCAACACCTAAGTTAGCCACAGCCACCACAAAGAAGAAATGAGCAAGTGAGGAAAAATGAGGAAGAAGAAAGTGAGAAAAGAGAGTTGAAAGGGAGAGAGGAGGGATACGATTCTCACAATTAGTACTGTAGTCACAAAGACCATCAAAAATAAATGTGTAGTGTTGTTATTCTCAATTTGTTTAATCTCATTAGTTTACAACTTCCTTTGGTTGTGACCAATGACTGAGAATAGCTCACAGAAGAAAGTATCATTCTCTCTGTCATCCTCTGAGTGATAAAGTAACAGTAGCATACATGAGTGAGAGTGAGGGAATATCTGCATCTCATTCTCTTTTTTCTGTTTTGGATTTAAATTAGAAATAATAATAACTATATTATATATGCATACGTACCATTCCAATTTGTATTACTAAACCTATCCGTATCTCCTTTTTATTTTTATTTATTTATAAATATTCTTCTCACTAGATATTTAGGAGTGAATAAAATGAATTATGATAGAACATTTTAAACTCATTTAATTTTTATCTTTTCATAACAATAACTTAGCTTTTTAGTTTAATTTAATCCAATTTTTAAACAATTTATCTCAATTTAATTTTTTTTACAAATAATTTAATTTTTTATAGTGCAGTTGAATTCAATTTACCATTAGATATTAACTACGTTTAGTTTAATTCTTTTTTACCCATTGTTATAAATACTATATCAATACTCTTAATAAACGTGATTAGGGTGGGGTTACAACTTGCACAGAAAGGATGTTTGGTGCCGCCTAAAAAGTAAAAGTTGTTTGTATTTCTTGTCCGTGCTACGGAACCACCTTGCCTAACTTCTTTTTCTTTTTTTTTTTCTTTTCTAGATAAGTGCTATTAAAAAAATAACATGATACATTTTTTTTAATATACTCTTTGTTATTAATAAAAAATAAGAGGCTTTTTTTAATATCAATTCTTATTTGATAAATCTCTTATTTATAACTTTTAATAAATTTAAACTAATATTAAAATGCATGTTAAAAAATGTTAGAGCAATATTTTTTTATTGGGACTATTCCCAACTACTTTTTAATACACTTTTATTTTTAATAAAATTCATTAACAAATATGAACTTATAAACAAATTTTATTAGATAAAAACAAAACTTACGTAATTTTATAATTTTAATTAATGTTTAATTTTCTTATACTATTACTATAAATATATATATCCTTGACATGTTAATATTAGTAATGTTGCAGGGTTCCGTGCAAGAAGCACGGAGGGGTTAGGTTCACTGTGAATGGGAGGGACTACTTTGAGCTTGTGTTGATCAGCAACGTGGCTGGGGCAGGATCCATCCAATCTGTATCCATTAAAGGCTCCAAAACTGTGTGGATGGCCATGTCAAGAAATTGGGGTGCCAATTGGCAATCCAATGCATATTTGAATGGTCAATCTTTGTCCTTCAGAGTCACAACCACCGATGGAGAAGTCAGAGTTTTTCCAAATATAGTTCCAGCAAGTTGGACATTTGGCCAAACTTTCTCTAGCCCAGTTCAGTTCTAAGCTCACAAAAATGAGTCACAAGGGCTCTTGGAACGGCTGAGGCGTGCTTTTTATTTGACTGGAGCAGCCCGCCACCCTTCTTGTGGTTTTGATTATTTGGTGGACCAAACCCATCAACTTCAAGCCCTTCAATAAGGCACAATATATACATGCCTTTCATAATATTGTTACTATCAAATATCAATAATAGCAATCACCATCATGTCATAAGGAAGTTCAAGTATGTAGAAATCAAATAATTAAGCATCTTTCTTGTTTAAATTTATACTATAAATTGTTGTAATATGAATACTATAGTTGAAGTTGTGTCGCGGGAGTTGAGAAAATACTCATTCCCTAGATTTTTTGGTGTATTGTTGTCGTCACACTGTTGTGTATTAATTCCATCAAGCTTTTGGAAATTTAAAAATAAGATAAATCTACCTGGTTATTATTTTGATACCAAGGATCTCATCTATAATAATCTAGTGAATTTATGTCTAGAACATTAAAAAAATAACTTACTATAAGGCTTACATTGCAGGTCGCAAGTTACAAGGTAATCAGTATTTGATTAATCATATATGTTGTTATTTAGTTTTGTTTGTCTTGGAGAATATCTTCCAGATTCAAGTTGGTTAAGTTTAGTCAGTCATAAATAATCAATTAAACTTCTAATCAGTCTTATCATTATCATTAGGAGATCTAACCATTTTCCTAATATCGATCTTCTTAAGTCAGTCTTATAAAGTTGATGTCTAATTTAGAGGATACACAACCTTCAAAACTCGAGTATTAATGCGTGAAGAATTAAACGATTGGCCTCCCTAATCAGTTTTCTTGACTCAAGCCTCGTGAAGTCGGTTCACAACTTGGAGGTAACAATTACAAATTTACAATTAATAGAGCAAAACCTGTTAGATGCAAGATTCTCTAACAGCTATCAGAGAATCTACGTGTTTTTGATTGATTAAAGCACATGACATGAGTTAATAAAAGTGAGACACGACATGAGCTGGCACCTTTTTAACTAATGTCTCACATAAAACCGTGTTGGGGTAGCGACACATGTTTACCCTTGATTTCAGAGGAACTGAAACTCGATCAACTTCAGTGAAGATGTTACTACGTAGCAACATCTCGCTTGATATCAAGTAACAGTTTTCTGGCTGTACCTTCATTGAAATTTCGACAAGTTTCCAAAAACTTTATGGATTTAAATTGCTTACGATATTCTTGTTGAAAATATCAAACAACATTTATTATTAAAGTTTATTTCAAATTAATGAAATATTATTAAAAAATTTATCATTATAAATTTTAATTATAGGAATTATAAGTGTTATTACACTTTTATGAATATTTACATTTATCATTTAATTTTTATGTTTATGAACAGAATTAGTTATATGTTTTTTTTTTAATTGAAAAGTTTAAGTATGAATAAAAATATGAATTTTAGTCTTCTAATTTTCTGAGTTCCTACAATTGGTACCAGAGATTATTTTGTTCTTGAGGGACTTGATAAGGTTGAGAGTTCCACCAAACACCTAAACACTTATATAGAGAATTGAAAACGTAATATGATTATTCAGTCCAAACATTGTCAGCATTTGATGGTGAGAATTATCACCTATGGGCAGTTAGAATGGAGACTTTTGTTGATGCAAATGATCTTTGGGAAGCTGTTGAGGAGGATTATGAGGTTGGTCAATTACATGAAAATTCAACACTTAATCAAATCAAGTATCATAAGGAAAGAAAGCAGCGAAAATCAAAGGCAAAGTCTTGTCTATTTTCTGCTGTTTCTCAATCAATTTTCACCAGAATTGTGACCCTAAAGTCAACAAAGGCTATATGAGATTTTCTCAAACAAGAGTATGAAGGAAATGAGAGGGATGCAAGTGCTGAATTTGATCAGGGAGTTTGAGATGTAGCGAATGAAGGAGTCAGAAATGGTGAAAGAATTCTCTAACAAACTTCTAAGCATTGTAAACAAGGTGATATTATACTACCAAATACATTGATGAATTGATACGAGATCGTTTTATCTTAATTAGAAGTTTTGAGTTTAAATTTGAAGAACACAACTGTATTAAATATTTGGAGAAATAATTTTGTTATCCATAATAATTTTATTTAATTTGAACAATATTATTTCTAATAAAAAAATACCTATGATCTTTAAAAAAAAATATTATTAGTTAATAAAAAAATTTAAATATAATTTTTAAGATATTTATAAAAGTTAAAAATTTTATCGAATATATCGATCACAATTAGATGACAGCATAAAAAATTCCACATTATTATTTTAGTTAAATTATTTAATCAATAATATTTGATGCATTAATTAGTTCTAAAACGTTTAAAAAAATTTAATTAAGTCCTAACATTTGAAAATATTCGTAATTAAATATTTGACCTTTATATTTTTATAATTGAGTTATAGTGATTAATTTGTTCCAGTTTCAAATTATTATAAAAATAAATTTTAAATATATTTTTAGTTTTTAAGCATTATAGTTGTGCAATCTTAATTCTTCAAATTTAAATTGAGTAACTTTAAACCTTCAAGTATTACAGTTACGAGTCTCTCAAGTTTTAATTATATAATTTTAGTCGCTTAAGTATCATAATTATGATATTTTAGTTATTCAAATATTACAGGGAGTTTGAGATGTAGCGAATGAAGGAGTCAGAAATGGTGAAAGAATTCTCTAACAAACTTCTAAGCATTGTAAACAAGGTGAGGTTGCTTGGGACAAAATTTTTCGATACAAGGATAGTGCAAAAAATCCTTAT